TTTATTATTCTATAATAAGATAATTGAAGATTTAACGGTTATATACAATTTATTTTTAATATAAACTTGTTGGTTTTTCATTTAAGGATTATCATAAAAATTACAAAGTACTTTTCAACAAAAAAGGACATTAAATTTAAAATTGTGCTTAAAATTTCGTAATTGAAAGACGATTCTTCTTTTTCTCTTGTTTTTTGGATTCTGTTTTAACAATGTTATGATTGTCGTCTTCTTCTGGTCTTTTTAAAGTAGGACAATTTTTTTTTTCCTACTTCAATTGAATATGTTTATGCTTTTTAGATGAATTTTATGAAAAATATTTTGCTTATGAAAGTTTTTTGATTTTGTATCAAACAAAATAAGAGTGATGGAACCGTAAATTGTATAATAAATTTATTATTTAAATATAAACAACGCTAGAAATATTCTGTATCCTTTTAAGAGCTTTTATTCGACTTACATTTTATACAAGTATAATACTATATAACACGCTATATAAAATCTTAATAAACTTCGTTTAAAATAACAGAAGAACGTGACAATTTTATGAAAAATCATTTTGTCAATATCAATTTTCAATTATATTTTTAAGTTTTATCGTAAATTTTATCATAAATTTCAAGAATTTCTAACTAAAATTAATTGAATTTAGTTACAATTTTATGAAAATTTTCCAGTAAACTATACTTGCTTACATAGTAATTTTATTCCAAATATTATTTCCAAAATTTAAGTAACCGTAACTATATGGTCTATATCAGCCGTCAGCAAAGCGTGGGCTAATGGACAGTATTCAACTCCATTCTGCTTGCAAGAAAAATCGATAAAGTTGAAAATGTCATTTTCTCTTGTAAGTAGGTAATATAAGAAACTCGAGTGGCCCATACTCATACTCGCATAGTACATCTTTGCACGAAGCCCAAAGAGTTTGCCGATAGTTGATCAATTTCATTATCTCCACACATTTAGTTTAAGCGAAATTTTAAATCATGGTAAAAATTACTTATGTTCACCTCTACTAAATAATTACACTGAAAGGTAACAAAGTGAAACCAAAATTCCAATTGTCTAAAAAGCAAACAGTTACCCTAACGTCCAAATTCTTCCAGAATTTAGGTACTTATACATTAAAGTTATTCAAATACACTTGCACTTTATATACATGCTAATCATTTTGCATTAAAAGACAACTAAAACAGTCGCGAAAACTGATACGTTATACAATCAATTTCATTTTCGTCTCATTCATTTCCTGTTCGAAGATATAGAAAACAAAAGTACGAAAAAAATATTTAATTAAAGGTTTATTCGAACTATACGTCTTATATGACTACAGGAATTTTCTTTATTTTTCCTTTTTTATTGAATTGTTTCAAGTTCATTCAACTTCTCCTTAACCTTCTATAATGTATAAAATGAAAATGAGAATATACGCGATAAATTAATAAAAATCAAATCAAAATCAAAAAAATATCCAAATCAACAAAAATGGATTTTTGATTGAGTTTTGAAAATTTTGATATCGTATTCGTTATCGTTTCAATCAATTTTATCTGATAATTCCCCCCCCCCCCCCCCTCCCGCCCTTTAAGATTATGGCATTTTCATTTACACAAACATAAACAAATCCTGATAAATAAGGCCTTGATGAAAAATATATGTATGCCAGCCCATATAATGAAGTGGTGAAATTATCATAATGTTATTTGCGAGTATATTAAAAGATTTCTATAACAATCACATTCACCTATACATATTTGGTTTACATTCTTATATTTGTTCTATATTATTTATACTTATTATTTGTATATATTTGCAAATACTAACGTGTTTATTTAAATATAATATATTCTCATTATTAACAGTTAACTTAATAGCTTTTCTTGGAACGGAATCGTTAAACAAATCAAACAAGTAATAAGAGAGAAAGGAAAGATTATTAATCCTCATATTCTTTTCTTTGTTTACAGTTTTCTTTTTATTATTCCTTTTGTTTATCGTTTTCGTTAAAGCTTCATTATATACTTTTCCTTTTCTCTTCTTATTTCCAGCATATCAGACATAATAGAGATAAGAATAAGACTGACAAATAATCTTTTGTAATTTGAAGAAAAAATAAAAAAAATTATTTCCGTAATTGTAGAAAATTTTTCTTCTCTTTTGATTTATTTTTAATTTATTATTTTTTTTTTTCCAATTACATTATTATAAAAATTAATATGATATATAAACTTGTAAATATAGGTTTTAATCAAATTGGAATCCATATAAATTATAGAATCTGGTATTTTGTGCAACAATTAGGTATTTTAATTAGCATTTAGATTAATGATAAAGTTACATTACTTGCGAACCATAGCTCTACTGTTCATTTTATACACGCATTCCATTTAAAGGAATATAACAGACTAAACGTAAAAGCATAACATTCTACAGGCATATACATTAAATATGTATATATCACATACACCAGTCTGTAAAACAAAAGTGTATAGAGTAACTAAAAAAAATAATAACGCCCATTTATTGCGGTAAATGGCTTCATGTGTAGAACATAAAATCAATTATTCAATATTTAAATTCATATTGTTGAGTGCTGTGTAACACATTTTTCATACAAAATAGCGTTCCATTTACAAACCACTCCCAATAACTCCGGAATAATTCAGAATCAGCGTTCCCACTTGGATACAATTGTATCCATTTGGATACATTTTTGCTTTAAAATTTAGCTTGGATACAAAGATACTCAAATCTGCTAAAATGTCGAAATTGGCTACATTTTAAAATTTTGCTGAAATATGGATACATTTCTTTCTCGAACACTAAATAAATGTTAGAAAACTTTTAAAGTGCTGTAACGTTTAAGTGCTTTATCTTCCAAAAAACTTAATTTGCTGACTAAATAAAATTTGCCCGTTTTCATGCTGAATCGTTTTTACAGCATAGTTCAACAGCTACAGAACATATATTTTCTGACCTTAAATTTTAAAATGTAGTAGAAATTGCGTGTGATTTCTAAAAGAATTTACTATAAATAACGAAACTCACATTGTTGAATAAAGCAAATTATAGTATAAAATATAAAAGGTATAAAATAAGACGATTTAGTATAATAATTCTACTTTAGGAGGCTGGATACATTTTGGATACATTTTTTTCTCGAAATTGGATACATTTTGTTTTTATTGAGTGGGAACACTGTTCAGAATGTTATATTCTTTTAAAAAGAATACCCTAGATATAATATAAAGATCTTAAGCAAAAGAGAAATAAGAAAAGTATTTTAAAAAGTAACAGTAGCATTTTGAGAGAAATTATTAAATACTTCATTTAATTTTAATAACATGAAGCATGTCTGTCTGGAACGAAGCTGATTTGAAAAATTATCAAAATACGAAAATATTCCAATTGTCGAACTATCTAATTTGAAATTGGAAAATTTACTAACTTTTTATACTAATACTGTTTTATTCCGTTCATATGTTTGAATTCTGAGCAGGTAAAGCATGCATCATAGTAAAAGAAACAAAACGAAAAAATTATAACCGATTCAAATGCCAGAATTAACTGACGCTAGCTACAGACAATTTTTTGAACTTTAAACTATATACCAAGCATTTAAGTCAACAAAACAATTCTAATGCCAAAAAAATCATAGATAATCTTTTTTGGAAACTTTTTCAAACAAATATTTTACTTACATATATACGTACATACTGTGCCTATGTTATACTAAAAGTATATAATTATGATAATTCGCGATTTTGGCATTATTTTTTTAATTTTTAAAACTTAAAAATATACAAAAACTTTTTAAAAATAAAATTCACCAAATACCCAATAAACTTTTAATGGTTTTCGTGGAAAAACAAGAAATTAAAATCATTTTTTTTAGAACTTAAATGAAGTGGAACAAAACTCATATTTGTAGGTACTAAAAATAAAGTACAATTATTCTCTTTATTCTCAATAGAATTTCTATAGTTTGCCAAAAAAATTAAAAATTATTTTAAATTCAGATAGAAAAAATTTTTTTCCACTTTTGCAATATTTAAAGTTGCAGAATAATTTTTTATAAAATTAAGTACATATAAAATGTTCCTGGAAATAAAGTGAAAAATCTTTATTGATTATGTATGGGTTATTATTTGCACAAATTGATACAATTTGGGAACTTTTTGTAGAGATTTTGCGATAATGGAGATGAGGTAGTTGAACATATTCTCTGCTTTTATGAAGCATAGACCAGAAGGCGTGTATATCCCCCAAATGAGGCGGCCGAACGAATCTGTAATTGCGCGAATATTATATTGGCGCTTTGTAAACAATGTGATGTTACAATAAATCTTTATGGCTGGTCTAAGGACAATTCCTGCTAATCTGCATCTACAGGACAGAACACACATACCATATAGTACATAGGGCACACATACCTTAAAAATAATGTTCGTATACCCTATACATATACTTTTACAAAATAATTACAAATTTGTTACAGTACACAAAAAATCTCTCAAGTTTTATACTCTCATTTTAATCACATTTAAATACTTTGTGTTCCTCAATCAAAATTACAGTTACGCTATATTCTTCGATTTAATCTCCTATACATAGAAAGGCTTAAAAATTTTTGGCATTATATATACAAAAATCAGAAAACAATTTTGGATCTAGTTAGATATTAAAAAATTATCATTCAAATTTTTTTTTTTGAAAAATAAATTTTTAAATTCAACATTTCAATTTTCATTTTATTATTAAAAATTTTAAATACATATGTATATATTTTATTATTATTTAATTTTTAGCACCGGATCCACCATCAAATTTATCAGTAGCTGTACGTAGTGGGAAAACAGCTACAATAACATGGAGTCCTCCATTACAAGGAAATTATACATCATTTAAAATACGTATTTTAGGAATATCTGATAATTTTGAAACAAATAAAACTGTTTATGTTGAAAATAATGTTTTTCAATATGTAGCAAGAGAATTAACACCAGGTGCAACATATCAGGTACAAGCATATACGATATACGATAATAAAGAATCAGTAGCGTATACGTCCAGAAATTTCACAACGAGTAAGTTGGTTTTTTTTGTTTGTTTTGGGGTTTTTTTTTTTGGGGGGTAATTAAAATTTAATTCTACTCCCTCAAAATCGATTTTCTTATAATTGAAATTGTATTATCGATTTTTGAGGAATGAATTAAATTTATTATTTTATTTTTTTTTTAATAATTAATTTTAATTTTAATGATTATTGTGAATTAATATAATTATATTTTTTATTTTATGTTTTTCTATGTTTTAATTTATTTTCGAACTGGGTTAAAATATTAAAAAAAAAAAAATAATAAAAACAAAATCTCATATTAATATGGGGAATTTGGTGGTGTTATTAACTATAATTTAATTTATTAAAATTGGGTTAATTTGGTTTAATATTATTAATTTTATTTTATTATTAAATTTTTCATTTATACATTTTGTTTTGATTTTCATTTAAATTATAATTATTTTCAATAATTAATAATGAATTTTAATAATAAAATAATAATAATTTAATTTTAAAATTAAAAACATTATTTTATATTAACACTAATATTAATTTTGTATAACACAATTAAAAAACATAAAAAAAAAAACCTACTAAAAAATCTTAGTGAAAAGGATGCGACATAAGGATTTATTGGATATTAAAATCCTACGAGGTAAAAAGAAAACAAAAAAATAAAAAAATAAAAATTTTATTCATTTTTAATTTTGATTTGGAATGAACAATTTTATTTCTTTAATATTTTTAAAATATTTATTTTACAATTTTGAAGTAGCATGAAATTTATTTTATATTAATTATTTTGTATTTTTTAAATTGTGATTTTATATTAGAAAATTTATATATAAATTTAAAATATAGTTAAATTTGATTATTAAAAATTCGAAAAGGAATTTTCATATTTCAAAATTTCATTAAAAGTATAATAATAAGAATTTAGTTCCAGGTTTGTAATTTGAATTAAGCTCAATTACGGGATAATCACAACAAAATTCAAAATAGTTTTTCAATAAACTTTCCATTTCAATAATTGCGGACAAAGATTATTAAAATAAAATTTATTCAGAAAAATTACAAAATAAATTAAATTAAAATTTTAAAAAATTTCATTTTAAAAATTTAAGATTTAAAACAATTAGTGAATTTTAAAATGAAATAATTTTTGAATTTTCACACCTTCATGTTTGAAAACTTTTCATTCCACTTGGAACAAATTTTAATTTTTGAATTTTAAATTTTGAATATAAGCCAAAATAATTTAATTAATATTTTTAATTATATTAGAGAAATCTTGTATTTTTGAAAATTTAAAATCAAATACCTTTCCAATTTTTTTTTTTTTTTGGCAAACAAAAATTTTTATTTTACTATAGTAAAAATTTACTCTTTCTGTATTCTTAACTTTGTTATTTAGAGGAAATACTTGATTTAATTTTTTTAAGTCAATTACATAATTTTATAATAATAACATAAAATATAATAATATAACGTTATGTTGCACAATGTTATTGTAGATTTAGAATTTTAAAATTATAATTTTTTTTTTTGTTAATTTTATGCATTAGTTATAGCTCTACACTTATACCTAATGAATTCTTCAAATAATTTATAAAAATATACAATTTACAATTTTTTTTTATAATTTTTAATAATTATAGTTGTAATTTATTATTTTTACTTAATATAGAATAGAGTATATTTATTAATTATCAGATAATTAGCATTATCTTTTATATTATTAAAATAGTATAGAAATTAATATAATGTAAGTACATAACACCTTTATTCAAATAAACTTTTCTGTAATATACTAGCATAATATAATACACTATACGTACAATAGTGATTCGGCAGAAATATATTAAGTTATACCTTCAATTTCAGCAATAAAGTTTTTCCGTCTTAGGAATACGCCTTAGGAATAAATTTCTGATTTTATTTTAATCAGAATTCATTAAAGAGCTTAAAATTGCCTACTTTTAATCATACCACAAATATATTAGAAGGTTTTTACCTAAATTCAAAGTCTTACCTGATGTTATCTTGATTTACTGTAAGCAATATATTTTTTAACAGCTTTAATCAGATCAATTGAGTCTCAGATCAATTGCGATTTTCTTTCTTAATAGATGTAAAATTTTGCTAAAATAACATACTCTGCTAAACTAAAAATACAATAATAAATAGAACTTATAAATTATGTAAATTAATCTTAGTTTCACATTTTTTCTAAAATAAATTCTAATCCAATTTTCTTTAACAATTTAAAATAAGTTTATTCAAAAAATAATTAAATATTTTAAATAAAATATGAAAATGAAATATGAAAGTTTTTTGCGATCCAAATTTACTATTTTTACTTGACGTTTTATATTTTTCTTACCTATATTCTTTTTTGAGCATTTAAAATCAATTTTAACCTTGTAACTCCTTTAGTTTACTTGATAATCATTATGCAAAATCAATTCAAATACTACGAAAGCCAATGAAGAAGAGATTAATGCCATTTACGTGTACTCTTCTGGAAAAAATTAATATTAACTGTTATTATAAAATTTTATAAGTCCATGAAAAATTAAATCATATACAAAAACAGTTACGACAGTTAAAATCATTACGAAAAAAAAATATTCTAATTGTACAAAATAATATTCTAACAATAGTTTCTAAATAATTATATTTTAATCCGACCTACATTATAAAGCAATGGTAATATTATAGAGGAAAATTGTATATAGTCGAATATTGGCTTACGATTCTGTAAAATTTAGAGAAAAAATTTACTAAAATATTAAAAATATTATTTTAAAGCAAGAGAATTTTTTGTTAATTTTTTAATAGAGATAAAGCTTATATTTTTATTTTTATTATTTTTAATAATCTAAAAAAAAACATAAACTGCATAAAGTTTGCCAAAAATTTATAAAATACTTTTGAAACAATATGCATTATCCTTTTAATCCTGTCAAATAATATCAGACTCTATATATTTAAAAATATTAAAAATTATATGAATTTAAAAATAAACAAAAGAAAAAATCTACTTCATTTATTTACAAAACTCAACTCAACTCCATTCACCATATAATTTACTAATATATTAGTAGTTATTACATATGCACACATTATATACATTCACATACATACAGACATAAACGAAAGTAGCATTAAGTAGCATTAAAGTTTTGTTTTTGTTTTTATGATTTTCTACTATCACATAAGTTGATTATTGTTTCTGTGTATAAAATATAAATTTTTAATATATTTTTTTGTTTGTTTTCTTTTTTTTTTTGAAATTGTAAATATTTCTGCATGTTATTAATAGTGATAATAATAACCAGTCATACAGTATCCTTTTTTATTCTTAAAATATTTATAAAATATATTTTTATATACAATTTTCTAATCCTTAAATATTTTTCATTTATTTTTTTCCATTTATGTTTTCTCATTTAACTGTGTATCCTGCGGGTGCTCGATAACACTACAACTTTAATATTTGATACGAAATTTGGAACAAAAACTATTATCTTGTGATTCACAAATATTTATTTTTATTGGATTCTGTTTTATGAATATTACAATAATAATTACAATCCCGCTGTATGCCATATTTGAAATTTTGATGTCAACAAAATATACCAAAAAAAAATAAAAATATATAGAACCGAATACACCTGGAAAATTTATTGTATGGTTTCGAAATGAAACAACATTATTGGTATTATGGCAACCGCCATATCCCGCTGGTATATATACACATTATAAAGTATCAATAGATCCACCGGATGCACAAGAAAGTGTATTATATGTTGAAAAAGAAGGTGAACCACCGGGGCCAGCACAAGCAGCATTTAAAGGTTTAATACCTGGTCGAGCATATAATATATCAGTACAAACAATGTCTGAAGATGAAATATCATTACCGACAACAGCACAATATCGTACAGTACCGTTACGTCCAATGAATGTAACATTTGATAAAGAATCAATAACATCAAATGCATTTAAAGCAATGTGGGAAGCACCGAAAAATGAAAGTGAATTTGATAAATATCAAGTATCATTATCATTATCAAGACGCCAACAAACTGTACCACGCACAAATGAACCAATAGCATCATTAGAATTTCGTGAAAATTTAGAACCTGGTAAAACATATAATGTTATTGTTAAAACAGTTTCTGGTAAAGTTACATCATGGCCAGCAACAGGTGATGTAACATTAAAACCTTTACCTGTACGTAATTTACGTTCATTTACTGATAATAAAACAAATGTTATGACATTAACATGGGAGCCACATCCAAATAGCACACAAGATTTATATAAAATAAGTTATCATGAAATTGTTGAATCAATTAATAGTGATGCAAGCACAATGACAACAGATGATACACGATATAGTTTAGATAATTTATTACCTGGTCGAAATTATACAATTACAGTACAAGCAATCTCTAAAAATATGGAATCAAATGAAACAACGATATATGTTGTAACAAGACCATCAGCTCCAATAATTGAAGATTTAAAATCAATTAAAGAAGGTCTTAATATCAGTTGGAAATCGGATGTTAATTCTAAACAAGAAAAATATGAAATTGAATATAGAAGAAATGGTACATCTGAGTTAAGAACAATACCAACATACGAGAATCGAATGGTTATTAAAAATTTATTCCCTGGAGCTATTTATGAAATTAAAGTTTTTGCTGTCAGTCATGATGGCTTAAAAAGTGATCCTCATGCTTATTTACAAGCTGTTTGTAAGTATAATAATTTTATTTAATAATTTCTAAAAAAATTTTTTGAACGAGAAACTAATAACAGTTCTCTATTATATTTTAGATCCAAACCCTCCGCGTGCAATGACAATAGAAAAAGTTACAAGTAATTCTGTTTTGGTAAGATGGCAACCACCAGAACGTAGTGATTATTCAGAATACTCAATTCGCTATCGTACTGAAAGTGATAAGCAATGGCACAAATTATCACCTGTAAAAACAACAGAAGCCGATGTCATTAATATGACACCAGGTGAAAAATATACTATACAAGTGAATTCTGTTAGTTATGGAGTTGAGAGTGTATCACCACAACAAGTTAATCAAACTGTTCGCCCAAATCCAGTTTCAAATATCATTCCATTTATTGATTCAACAAATATAACTTTGGAATGGCCTAGACCTGAAGGAAGAGTTGAAATGTACTTATTGAGATGGTGGCCAACCGATAATCCTAATAGAATGTATTTTAAAAATGTTTCCGAACACAATGTCGGTGAGTATTTAAATCACAACGCAAAAACTAATTTATGAAATTTCTAATTTGAATTCTTTTATATTTTAGCTCCAATTAATTTTACTGAATCTGGAGAAGATATTCCCTATGTTAGAGTTTTAATCAGTGATTTAATGCCAGGTGTTCAATATAAATTCGATATTCATACAATTTCATATGGTCTAACAAGTGATTCTACACCACTTTCAACTAGAACAATGCCACTTATACAATCTGAAGTTGTTGTAGTGAACAGTTTACATGAACGTGATACTGTTACCCTTAGTTACACACCAACACCACAGTCAATTTCAAAGTTTGATATATACCGTTTTTCACTTGGAGATCCAGAAATTCGTGATAAAGAAAAATTAGCTAATGACACAGATCGAAAAGTAACATTTACAGGATTAATTCCAGGACGATTATATAATATTACCGTATGGACGGTATCAGGAGGTGTTGCCAGTTTGCCAATTCAAAGACAAGATCGTTTATATCCTGAACCAATTACTCATATTAATGCAACACGAATAACAGATACTGAAATTACCTTAAAATGGGATATTCCGAAAGGGGAATATAATGCTTTTGAAGTTCAATATTTAATAACAGACTCATATTATGTTCAAAATTTAACCGTTTACGATACCATAACTATTTCTGGTTTAAAACCTCATCGAAACTATACATTTACTATTGTTGTTAGATCTGGTACAGAATCATCTGTACTTAGAAATAGTTCTCCAGTATCAGCGAGTTTTACAACAAAAGAATCAGTACCTGGACGTGTTGAACGTTTCGAACCAATTGATGTGCAACCGAGCGAAATTATATTTGAATGGTCATTACCTTCAAGTGAACAGAATGGTGTTATAAGACAATTTAGTATTACATATGGTATAGAAGGTTTACCACATATACAAACAAAAGATTTTAAAGCAACTGAAACGAGAGGAAATTTAAAAGGTTTACTGCCTGGAACAACATATGTTTTTAGAATACAAGCTAAAACAGCAATAGGATATGGACCGGAAACTATATGGAAACAAAAAATGCCAATATTAGCCCCACCAAAACCAGCAACGCAAGTTGTACCAACTGAAGTTTATAAAACAAGTTCAACAATTCAAATACGCTTTAGAAAAAATTACTTTTCAGATCAAAATGGAGCTGTAAGTTTCAAAAATTATCTTTCGTTTTTGTATTAGATTTAGCATTTGATTATTAATTTTATATTCTACTCATTTTTTAGGTTAAATATTATACAATAATTGTTGCTGAAGATGATACTAAAAATGCCTCTGGTCTAGAAATGCTCAGTTGGAAAGATGTTCAATCTTATAGTGTTTGGCCACCATATCAAGTTGTTGAGCCATATTATCCATTCAATAATAGTTCCGTTGAAGATTTTACAATTGGAACTGAAAACTGTGATAATCGTCAAAATGGATATTGTAATGGCGCACTTAAATCTGGAACAATTTATAAAGTTAAAGTGAGAGCATTTACTGCACCAGATAAATTTACAGATACTGCATATAGTTTTCCAATACAAACCGGTAAGTGAAATAGGAATTAAGAAAGAATTTTTTTTTTATTTTAGGTGACACACAGTTTGACAAATTACCAAAAAGTTAAAAAATCGTGCAGTTATTCAATTTAGTGTAACAGATCCAAAATGAGAAAAATACCAGAAATGTTATATATGACAAAATATACCATAGTTATCGTATATAATTCGATATCGCGGAAAACCGCGAGTTTGTCACTTGAAAATACCCACAAAACTCTTAAATCTAGATTTGTTTAAGTTATTTTTAGGAAAAAAAAACAAAATCGGCCACCGAGAATCAAATTGACCTACCAAATATTGTTATAATAAGCTGATAACAATTGATTTCTTAAAAAAAACTGTTCAAACTTTTTTATCATATTTTCTTTATATTGTTAAAAACTTAGTAAAATAGTAGTTTCATGAAGTCGTTAACTGACTTACAACTTTGAATTACAAAAGATTTCAATGCTCATTCATGGAAAATAGTAGATTGTTGTAATTAGTAGATGGTTAAGTACAAAAAATAATTTTAATAGCCAATTTAGTTACCTTAGTAAGATCTCAACTTTATACAAGATATATGAGAAAACGTAGCACTTTCCTTACTTTACTGTAAGTAAAATAAATTGCTATAGCAAAAATTCTAAATTTCGGATTTCATAAGTGAATATAGAACTCTTAAACAATCATATTATTATCTTGTTATATTGTAATTGTATTTCAATTTTATTACCATATTAACCTATGAAGTATAAGCACAATTCTCATTTTTCCTATTTTGAAAATTTTCTTATTTAAAATGCACTATTCAAAGTATTTCAAATAGCCTGTGAGTCATAGCTGGTTTGAGAACAAAAGAAAATTCCCCTCTTAAATTAATTTCATTCAAATAAATAATTAAATTTGTATTTATGATGGCATTTATGATAAAATTTCTAAATTCAAAACTTTAATCATTCATATATGAGCCATATGTAGAAAATAAGTTTTTAAAGTTGCTATTTGTTAAAACAATGCAACAAAACTTAAAGTATATAAAGTAAATTAGTGCATATATAAATAAAGGCAACCCATAAATTACAGAAAGTTAAAAAACTTTAACGTAATTAAAAACTAACAATGAAATGTTACTTTCAACTATTCCGCACCCAATGTATATTAATAGTTAATTGGGAACGTTAGGCGTTCATATTAATTTATTATTTTTTAAAATTTCAATACAAAATTATGGAAATTATGTAAAAATTTTATATAAATTCAAATTCTATAAGTATTAATTGATTTAATAGGAACAATATAGACAATATTATTAATTATTTTTTCTATACTTTTGAAATCAAATTAGAATGAATTCAATGATCAATCACATATTTTGATAATCCTCTTCCTAATATCATGATAGTAGCTTCTATGGCGAACAAATAACAATATAATAATATATTTTTTTACAAGTCTCCAAAACAAATTTAAATGAATAGAAATTTCTACATCAATCAACTGTTTTCCAAAATTTTTCTTTGTACTTTATTAAAACAATAGAAATACTTCATGAAATCATCTTTATTTATTTGTACATTTTTATTTGATTAATTTATAATTATCGAATTATAGAATAATAGTTTAAAAATTGATTTGCAATAAAAAATCACGCGATGACAAAGGATTTCCTGCGATCATAAAATAAATTTCATTATTAAAATTTTTTTACATAAGTTTTATTAAAGATCAATTAAATAATTCAATTACTCATTTAACTTTGAAATCGGGTGAAAAAAAAATATTTTTTTTAATAATTTTAAAATTTAAATTTCATTAACACACCTCTCACGGAATTTTATAAACGTTTTTATATAATTAAACGTCAATTATAACGTAATTTAAATATATATAAATTTATTATTTACTTCTAATATATTCGACCATAATACTTATGTATAAAAGATGTGTGATTGTATCTGTTGCCCAAAATAAATAAAATTTTCAATCACATTCAATATGAAGTAATTATGAAGTCAAGTAATTACGGGAATACGAATTTTGTGATTTAAATTTCGCGTACTCATGTTGCCAATATGTTACATACAAATATCTGGATTTCAATAACAAATAATAATGCAGATATTTAATAGGCTTATTATGATCCGCAAAGAAAATGGCTTGTCGAATCGAATGGCATTTCAAATTGTGATCGGCGAATGGTTTTTTTTCGCCAAGTCCATTACTTTGTTAGTTCATGTCATTATAAAATGACATTACCATAACCTAAAAATAGTTAATACGCTTAAAAAAAATTTATTTAGATATTTTGATTTCATTCACCAAGCTTTTCACACAGAACTTTCATTACAGAGTTTTGACAGCTTATTCACTTAGAGTTTATAATTTTAATATTATTTATAATTAATGTTCGACAAAAATGTTATCAAACATAAATCCATTTTATTCTAAAATTATCTTTAAATGAATTTTATAATAATATGACTGACTTCAGATGGTTTTAATAATTTTCAAATGATTTTTTTAACAAGTTTTAATAAAACGCCTAATTGATGATAAATATTAAACACTTATTTGCCTTAATAAAAACTACATTAATAATTCAACTAATTCGAGAAAAATTTATTTTTAGTTAGTTAGAACATTTAGATTCAGTTCTACATTTGGATTATAGACTGGAACAATCCAAAAATTTTACAATTTTTCAAAAAAATTTAAAATTTTGTGTTGATTATAATTTGAATATGATTATAATTTTCTTTACATGATACATACAAGGGACCTGTCATCATTATCTTTATCATTCACACTTTTGCGAACCTATCATTAATATTTGGTATCATCGTTATAAAATTCACTACCAAAAATATTTGCCATTATTCACTGTAATTTTAAGTGGATGACATTCAGTGTTATCATTAAAAAAAAGAATGACATATTTTTGTTATTATAATTCACCCACGTCATTCTTTAGTGAAATTTAATGTTTTTCATTCTTTTTTCGTTTTATTCACTTTTTTTGTGGCAATGCTTTTTTTTGTTATGACAGTTACCATAATTCTAATTCGGGTACACAAAGTACAAATTTATGTTTTCAATTCATTTACAATGTTTTGAAAGGTGACCACCGAAAAAGAGAAATTGCATTTGTATACAAACAGTGTTGCACATAATATTATTGTGTACATTTACAAAATGTAAATTACAAATTTTAAAAATATTTAAAAAGCTTTTTTTAAAAAAAAACAAAAAAAGAACAAGAAAATTAAAAAATCTTTAACAAAAAATTTTTATAAGTAAAACATTCAACAATTACGTCAAAATTTCGAAAAAAAGAAAAATAATAATAATATTATAATTAAACCCTTCCGTTTTCTTTGACCAATTTACAATAATCGCACATTATTACATTGTCATTTTATTATTTCATATACATTTACATATACTCCTAGTAAGATTTAATATATGACAGTATTATTTGTCTGTATTTAGCACATTTTATGGAAATTTTTATTTGCACATAACTAGGTATGTATAAATATACTTATAGTACTTTTGTATATCTAAATTCAACAGTAAGTGCGTATGTATATTATACATTATATTATTATAACCTAGAAGATTTCCCCTAAAAGTATACAAGTATTATGTCTATATTTATAAACAATAGAATTTTATGTAGGTATCTTAATTAGAATTTAAATTTATTACATAAGTTTCTTTTATACACTCATTATAATATTATATTTTGTTGTTGACTATATTAATACGTAAATATATAGGTATAGTACTCTGTACAAAAAGATTTAGTATATAAAAACAAACCATTTGAAATGCAAAAATTTTATACATAAATATACCAAAAAAAAAAAAAAAAATCAAAATTCTATTTTAAGTATTTGGAGGGTATGTAGAAAAAAAATATTTTTTGTTTTATTTTTCTTATTTTTGTCTGTTCTTCTCTTTTTTTTTATTTTATTAAAATTTATTTTCTGCCCGTAGTCATGTCAGTCAACGTTTGTATTCGTTTTCATTCATAGCTATAAACTATAAAGTAAAAAAAAAAGAAGAAACGAAAAAAAAGTCAGAAAAATTTATTCTAGTCTCTCTCATTCTGTATTTTTACTATACTTACATATATACATACTTATGTGATAACATAATAAATAATTATATGATAATATATAAAATATAAATACGGTTTTTAATAATACATAACATAAGTTTTATATAATGTATATAATACAATTCCTTATATGTATAATACTATTTAAAATATATAATGATTAACGTGCAAAAAATACATACATACAATATATTGTGTACAATATAAATGACGTTTATGAAATACACATATACAATATATAAATAATCTCAGAGCTTTATAAAATTCGAACTCGAATTTTATTTAGTACACAAAAAAAATTAGAAAAAGCTTTTTCGAAAATATTTTTTGTTGTGTTTTTTTTATTATAATATTTTTAAATAATATTTTGTTTAAAATATTTGAATTTTATAAAAGTGTTTATAATATAAAAAATATTGTTATACAAATTTTTTTAAATTAAATTATTATATTTAAATAATATTGATTTAATATTAATATAAAAATAAAATAAAATTTATCTTTTCTTTCATGCCTTTCCAAAATAAATTATTTTTTCTTTATTATCAAAAAAAAAAAAAATAATTTAAATAAAAAATTATAAAATAAAAATAGTTATACACTCGACAGGTAAGTGACTAAGTATTTATACACATATGCTATTTACTATAATAAAAATAAAAATATTCAAAATTTTATATACATTTACGTATGTACATATAAGTATATTCACAATATTATATATGTACTTATATGACATTTTATATTATTATACCGTATAAAATTTTGAATGTGACATTTTTTGTTTTTATTTTTTTTTGTGTCATATTATTCTTTCTACAAATTTGTTTCTTGTTATTTTGTTTTTTAGTTTTTTTTTTTTCAATAATTTATAATGAAATTTTTTATTAAAAAAAAAAAAATTGTGTGTATAGGGTAGGTAGGTAGTTACTATTGTGAATTTTATTAGCAACATTTTATTGAAAATTATTATGTTTTTTATTATTTATGTGTTAAAAATTATTATAGTATAACAAAATGTTATTATTTTGTCACGTCATATAACACGAAATTTACATATTGTTATTAAATACTTTCTTATTTCTTGTTTTTAAGGCAAATTTTTTTAGCAAATGTTAGGTTCTTATTCTTATAATAATATTAATAATAATGATATATTAATTTGAGGTATAACATTATAAATACTTATGTAAGATATTTTATGAACAAAATAAAAAATTTTACATACGTGTTTAAGAATTTATGTTGATAACATGAACTAAATTTTCAAAATAAAATTATGTTTACAATTTCAGACAAATTCTAAATTAATGAAGTATTTATGTCAAATAAATATTTCAAACTATAATTGTTATACGAGTACAATTGAAATTTTAAATTTATATTATTTTCTATTAAAATGATGAATTTATTCGTAAGTTATTAATTTAATTATTTTATAGAGAAAAGTTATCATACAAATTTTTATACAATTTAAATTTAAAATTAATTTACATTTGTAAATTTTAAACATGAAAAAATTTTATTTGGAAAAAAACAGAAAGCGAATGTGGCAATATTATTCATTATTATTGAAAATATTCCTTATCACAACATTATTACGCTATTGTGAATAAATGTTATCATGATTACAGTTACAATATAGATATAAAAACTTATGGTGTCTTTTTCCAGAACAATTCAGTTAAAATATTCGAGAGTATACTGTTATACTATTAATATATTATAAAATTCTATATTGTCGATTTTATTTTTTGGATATAACTTATTTTTTATTAGTTTAAAAAATATTATACAGTGTAGTATAAGTATTTTTAGTTTCGTATAGAAAGTGCTGTTTTCATTCTGATAAAAATAATTTTTTTTTTTCGGTTTTTTATATTGATTTTTTAAAAATAAAAAAACATTATATGTCGAAATTTAAAAATTTACAACATAATTCAACTATTATTCATGAAAATAGTATTACAAATTGCATAATTTAATTTATTATTTAAATTTTGTGTTTTTTTTTTTTCTTATAATAAAAATCCCAAATATATTAGTCATTTCTTACATATGCAAATGTATTTTGAGGAAATTTAAAAATTTTACGTATTAATTTATTTACAGAATAGAGAAAATTCTTATTTATAAACATAGAAATCTAGTGTTTTAAAAATTTTATATGTGGCAATATAATAAAGAAGAGAGGGAGGAGAGGAGGTCAAAGTTCGAAACGATTCATTAATTTTTTTAAAAACATTATTTTAAGAAAAATAAATAATTTTTATGTCATTAAAAGTGTATAATAAAATTATATATTAACTTTCATGTACATAAGATATGGGTGAAGGTCATATATTAGATGAACGGAACTTGTCGCCGCTTACTGTTCATTCTATAATACGAATTAAACACATAATTTGCGGTTATTAACTTTTATTTATACATACATACATAATTTACTGTGAACACATAAATTTATATTGCAATTCTTTTTTTTATTAAAATTGCGGTAGATTATTTTTGTGTGTAGGAACAAGTTGAGGAGAAAGATTAATTTAGAATTTAAGATTTTTGAATTGTTATTATTTAAGCAAAGTTCTGTTCTAAAAATTTAAGCTGAATTGGGTCTAATAATAAAGTGTTTTACAATTATGTATTATGAATATTAGCATAATAATAATGTTTTTAACATTAACCCACTATATACTTATTCTATCTGGAATACTCAAAATCATATTTCATTCCCAAAATTTTTATCTTGGACATAAACCATTTTTATGAAAAATATTTCTAGTTCGAACTGCGAAATTTGCATTTTGAACTGATGCGTTAAATATTAACGACAGTTAGCCATCTATTTAATATTTATTTAATTATACGCATATTATGTTTTAATATTTTCCTAAAATACAAGAAAACAAATGTTAACCCTGTTTTTCTCCTAATAAAGTTTCAAGTCTCTTTATAAATTTAAGACATTTTAAAAGTTAGAAAATTAAAATAATTTAATCTGTATTTAAAAAAATAGCCAGCCAAGCCAAGTGACCTAAATATTTTTTAAATTTAAAATTTAATGTGAGTTTTTTTTTTTCTTAAATTATGATTTTTATTGCTTAGACTCGCTTTTTTTACAATGCACATGAATGTCAGCAAACCTAATATAAACCTATGTATGTACATATACATACAAAACAACAAAATTAATATGCAAAAGTGTATTGAATTTATTTAGTTCTGAATTTAATTTGTTTAATGCTTGAGGGTTAAATAAAAAGTTTTTTTTTTTTGTTAAATTTTTTCACACTACTAATTTTTGAAATAAAAAAAAAATTTCTTAATCCTAAATTTTTTTTTCTCTGCATTTAATTTCCAAAATCATTTTATTAAAAAAAAGAACCGGCATTTTAAATATCCTTGAATTTAATGTAGTTTCATATAATTAAAATTCTATTGACATTTTGGAAAAAAAACAGAATATAAAAAAAAAATTCTATATACCACAACCACAAATATCTAGATTTAAAATTTAGTATATATATGAGTATGGTATATAAAGTGTATATTTTACTCATTTCTCTCATTTATTTCAAAAAAAAAATTATGTTGTGCTTATAATATTTTGTTAGACTTTCTATTTAAATACCGTACATAATACATAAATTTTGCCTACAAGATACACATTTATACATACATGCATATTTATATAAAACATTTATGTCCCCTTTACTATATTTTATAAAAAAAAAAAAAACAAAACACAAAAACACAAAGGCAAAAAAAAAAAACTAAATAAATTAAATCATAAAAAAAAGGGAAAATGAATAAAAATTAAAAAGCGCATGCGCAAATTTCGAAAGGGAAAATAAATATTTATTTATATCAATCATACATAACGGTATGCTTAAACTAGTCATTTTGTTTTTCTACATAATATTATGTAAATCGAAATGTTCATAATAGAATTCTGTCCGGAAACTAAAGAATGTTATAAGAAATTTTAAATATTTTGCCTCTTTTTATTTTTTTTTTGGTGGTCCAAAAGCGTGTAGTGAAAATTCATGTTGGGTAATTGGAACTGAATTTGAAATTATTAATTTTTTCTCTTACATTTTTTTCTATTTTTGCTTTAAAAATTTATGAAATTACAATCAAAATCTTTCTGGAAATGAAATATCAGTCCTTAATTTTAATTATGCATATTGTGATATGACATACGAGTAGTTGTCATGTATAGATATGCATATTCATATTTGCCGTAAAACTGTCAACCTATTTTTTAGTCAATAATAAGTTTAAAGATTTTTGACATTATTTTAATTAATATAATAAATATAATTTGGAAATTCCAATTTACACGGATAATAATAGACCTAATTTTTTATACTAAATATAAAATTTATATTTTTTAAATGGCAATGTAAGAAATTCATATTATCTATAAAAATTAATTGAAATCAAATTAAATTAAAATTTTAATACAAATTTCCAAATTGTATTCAATTAAAATTAATCAAAATAATTCAATTTTTTGCCTGTGTATTTCGTTGTTTCAATAATATTTACATATATATATATATATATATATATATATATATATATATATATATATATATATATATATATATATATATATATATATACATATCTGATAATAACAAAATCATTATTATTCCTTAGTCTAAATTAATATGAGTAAATTTTATTGAGTGTATCCTTTAAAAAAATATATTCGATTTTATCCTGTCATTAATAATATCCTATAATATTCCGGTGTTATTTTATTTTATCATAAGGAAATTTCAAAATTTAATTCTTGTTATTATTTTCTTGTTTTTCTTTTTTATACATATATAAAGTTTGTTTTTGTTTCTTTTACTTTTTATTTGTTTGTTTTTTTTTTTGGAAAATTATTTCAGAGTAAAAATTTTCTTTAGTTCTAAATAAGTTGCATTTTCAAAAGAGTCAGTCACTTTTTATATAGTAAAGTGAAGTGAATTCTTTTATTTTTTTTTATTAAAGTTTTATAATATATATATATATATATATAAATATGTATTTATATATATATTTTTTACATGCATATATATGAAAAATAATTAAAAATATTGAAGACTTTTTGAAATAAATTTAAGAAAAAAATAAATAAAAACTTTAAAGACTATTAAAAAAGTAAATATGAAAAAAAAATGTTTTTTTGTTTTTTAATTAAATATTAAAAAAATTATAAAAAGTGAATGAATATTGAAAAATCGTATATAAAATATAATTTTTTTTTTGTGAATTTTTTTCTGTTTGGTTTTTTTTTTTTTGTTGAGTGTGTACAGATGACACCATAAGCGTTCAAAATCGTTGCATACATTTATATTTTTTTTTTATTTTATTGATTTTTTTATTTTATATGCTTCATTTTTATTAAATATTTTAATATTTTAAATAAAATATTTGTTTTTTTTTTAATTTTTATATATTTTTAAAATTATAATTTTTTAATTACAAATAAAATTTAAAAATTATTATACAAACAATATGAACATTATTTCATTATGTGAGAATATCTTTTTAAAATACATACTTACATTTATATTAAAGAAATAAAAAATTCAAAATTTTAAAAGAAGAAA